CCCACTGGGGTTGCCACAGTATGGATAGATACCAGTGAGGGCCAGGAACATCAATACCTCAAGCTGGTGGCAGGTCGCAGTCTGCATTTAAGCCGTGGACATTGAGTGCTCTGGCAGGAGAACCGCTCAGAATGAGTCCAAGCAAAACAAAGCACCCAACCAATTGGGTACCTACATGTTTTAGTTTTACTACTACATATGTGCTACGGTCGATGCCCCTTGTAGGTATCCTGCCCATGCTTCCTCAATAGGAATCCTAGAATTGTTGGTCTAAAACCTCCAATGAAAGGTCCATGTCCATCCCTACCAGCCCAAAGTAGGAGGGTGCATGCATTCAAGGTGGACCATGGCATGTATATATATATAATTGTGACATGCAATATGGATGTGGATACATGTGCTTTGTATGTGTATATATATATATCATATATATATATACATCATGTATCGATTAACCCTATAAGCGTATATGCCGCGTGCAGATGCCTCTCGCGCAACACCCGTGCGGGTTACGGAGTGGGTTCCCATGAAGTGTTTGCAGGAATATCCTCTCAATGCGCTCTTTCCAATCCTTGGTTGCTCTTCCCTCCTTGAAAAACCACTTGTTCCCAAAGGGTCTAAGAGGCTAAGGTCACACCAAAGACCAGCCATGAATCATGGAAGTGGACAAAAGGTCTTTGACAGTTGAAAAATCATCTCTTCCACACAAAGTCCCATTCTGGGAGCATCAGGTAACTTACACAAATCCGCGAGAACAAGACGACTTCAAAGAACAGCTCTCCCCACCGGTATGGCAGTAAACTCGCAAAAGCAAAAAAGGGGCGAGTATAGAGGTTGCCTCTCACATGTTTTGCAAGGCACGCGCCTTCTCGCTCTTTGGGACTCCCCTTTTTTTTTGTTAATTTGCTGGAATCTCCAAGTGTTCAATTTGAACGTGCTCCAGCTCTCGTAGGAAGCTCCTTCTGGCCCTCGATGCTTTAATTGGGTGGTTGCGTTCTTGCCTTGCTGGATTTGTCGCAAGTTGGCAATGTTGCAGGAGCTTTAATAGACGAATGCAATCCAATCTAAATGTATGTCAACTAAACAGGATGCTCTAGCTCTCTTGACCCTACACCGAATGAGATCACTCCAAATTGCAGTCCTGTCAGAAAAGACCTGACTTCAATGCTAAAATTTCAGGACTTCTCAACACAAACATGTTGCTTATGGTCATAGGGTAGCCTTTGGCTTGTCCAGTTCAGTCACACGGAACTGTCCAAAGGAATTCCTTTACAACTTCAGAGGACTTCTCCAATCACCGACTCTGAAAAGCATGCAGTTCTCACACCGGAGAACCTTTTCCAAGCATATCCCAATGCAGTGGGATATGGATATGGTTGTTTGCATGTTTTCTGTGTTGCCCAAACCAATCAAGACAAGTAACGCGAAGCATAGCTACCAACGAGTTTTGAGAAACTGCCCAAGAGCTGCTCCATGTTTATGCACGGTGCTCCCACGAGAATGACTTAAACCCGCTGTGATGCCAGCTTCATTGCTTCAAGCGAGTAAATGGAAAGTAACCTTTGATAAAAACACCCTAAATTACTCCTCCAAAGAACCTTTTTTAGGGTGCCCGAACCGTTTTTAGGTGCCCTGCAAGAAAGGCTTACCAACATGGGGGGTCTCTGTCCACAAACTTGCTTTGTTTTGAGACGGTCCCCAAGTAAAATTCCCAGCGACCTCAACAGGCTCCGAGCACAAAAACACGACACCAACCAAAGCGATTCGATCGTCCGAGGCTCCCCAATGCTGAAGACATCCACCCGCTCATCGAAGTCTGGCCGGGTCAGCTCCGGCGCGGCGTAGGGCGACTCGTGGGGCACAGGCTTCCCCGGCGCGTTCAGGTCCACCTGCGAACTCTCAAACCCGGCTTTGTTCAATCCCAGAATGAAAAGAACACTAGACATGGAAAATGACGAAACTCCAAAGGGAAAAAGAAAGTGAGCTGATGCAAACATGATGGTTGTTGGGATGCGTGTTGATATGGAGGGGAAATGGGAAAGTAACCTTTGGCAAAAAACAGACTGAATTATTCCTCCAAATAACATTTTTAGGGTGCCCGAACCTTTTTTAGGGTGCCCTTAAAGAAATGCTTACCAACATGGGGGGTCTATGTCCACAAACTTGCTTTGTCCCCAAGTCAAATACCCGGCGACCTCAAGGGCTCCACGTAGCATTAGTGGCAGCATGAGACTTGCCATTCATCATTGCCATGGTCAAAAGTCTGGCATTTGCGGGTCAAGGTCGTGTCCTTTTAGCAGAAGCCCTTTGCGGAGGTCTCAATCTTACCGTTCACGGGTTGATACCCATCGGCATGCCATTGACCCTCAAGCATTCCTCATGGCCCGTCTGATTCGCTAATGATGCCCTCAAGCTCGAAGGTTGGCGCGTTTGCTCAGCCGAGGCACGGCAAGACTAAAGTCAGAGAGGACGCCCGTGCCGTCGTAGCTGAGAAGCACAAGTGGTGCCCTTAGTGTCATGAAGATATGTGGTGTCAGGGATCGTGCAATTCGATAAAATACAAGCAGATGTGTCCCTTTTAAACCGTGTCAATTATGACTTTTTTGGAGCATTGTCAAACATGCTCGCAAACTGGAGCACCTCATCGCAACTCACGCTTGCACAGCTCCCCGCCGAATGTGCATTTCTCAAGCACTCCGCACAAGCACGCGCACATATTCAAACAGAAACACAACACACACACACACACAAGCACTCAAACACCCAAACACCCAAACACCCAAACACCCAAATGCACAACCACCAAACACACCGACACGCAGAAACACTGAAACACAAAGACACAAAGACACAAACACTCAAACATAAAAAAGAAACCGAACCAAACAAGCAAGCAAGCAGACAGACAAACAAACAAGCAAGCAACCAACACGCAACCAAGCACGCAAGCAAACAAGTAAGCAAACAAGCAAACAAACAAGCAAACAAAGGAACAAGCAAACGAAGAAACAAACCAAGAAGCAAGCAAGCAAGCAAGCAAGCAAACAAACAAACAAACAAACGGTCTAGTAAAAGGTTCCTATGCTCCATAGCCGCCGTAACTTTCAGGAATCGGGCCAGGCCTACGATCCCGACAAGGCATTTGAAAATTGTTGGGCCCTGTCAAAATAAACAAACAAGCAAACAAACCAAGCCACAAAAAAAGCAAGCAAGCAAAAAATAGCAAGCAAGCAAGCAAAGCAAGCAAGCAAGCAAAGCAAGCAAGCAAGCAAGCAAGCAAGCAAGCACGCACGCACGCACGAGCAAGAGCACAAGCACAAGCACGAGCACAAGCACGAGCACAAGCACGGCAGGCAGGCAGGCAGGCAGGCAGGGCAGGGCAGGGCAGGGCAGGGCAGGGCAGGCAGCCAACAACAACACACAAAAACCCACAACAAACAATACAACACAACAGAAAACAACATAAAGACACACACACACACACAAACCCAGCACTCACAAAGCCACAACACACCATGGGCAACTTTCGCTTTAACCACCGCCTCCCTTGCCTTTTCCTGGCTGCCTATCTCGCAATGGACGACAGAATCTTAGGCCGACCAACCGCTAAACAGGTCTTCGCCCTAGAAAAAGACAAACGTCAAAGCACCTGCCTTCCTTTCCTAGGCGTCTTGGAACCTTCTAAGGAGTTCTTAAAAGAGCTTCAAAACTAGGGGGTCCCTTTGCAGACCCGTCTCATTTTGTGCTAGATATTTTTGGTTTGGGATGTTTGGTCCGCCCTCCAACATGCGTCGTCTCCTTTTGTTTGCCCTGTCAGGCAACCTGGCCCCAAAAACATGACGCGCCCTTCTTGGCAACCTCTCGCAGACTCCCAGCACAGAGCAATCTGGAAAAATCCAGAAATTTGGCAAGCGTGAAAGGCCCCATGAAGCAAAGCAATAGCATCAATAGCCTTTTGTGAGAATTGTGATTTGATTTGCCCGAAGCCAAATGAATTGGTTAGTGTTTTGGTAAGGGTACCCTGCCATTTATGGGGGTTTGAAGGGAAGGCAAAAGGAAGACCGAAGCCACTTTTGGGGCTCCCCTATTTGGACACATGGCTGTGGGTCAAAACCCTGTACCCCTGGTGAACATCAAAATAGGTGGTACATGGGTGCTCATCCGCCCCAAAATGGAGGCATAGGTTATGACCCATGGCCGCATCAAATGAAGCCGTGGAGCCGCACGTCTCGGTGCACGATCCGCAGACCATGAAGGAAGGTGAGCGCTGAGGTCACTCCAATCATGGCTTTTATGACCTCAGGCAGGGTCTGAGCCAAAAGAGAACAGCAAACCACATCAACAAATTGCCAGAGGGTCCTCCAAATCAGCTGGTAATTGCGATTTTTCAATCGGCCCTCATGTGTGCTGTGAGGGCCCTGTCAAATGCTTCTGGATGCAGCCATGTTTTGTTCAAATAAGTTCCAATTTCGTATCATTAGTCGAAAGGCAACCCATGAAAGCAGCATGTTTGCGTCGTGCGCATGTTGGAATAAACCACTGAGCGGCGCATTGTGTCAATGGATCTGAGATAGGATTTCCTGAAGGACTTCAAACTGCCACTCTAGGCACGTGTATTTCATTGGGGCGAGCTTACTGTTGGAACAATGATGTGAACTAAGGACATCAAGACAAGTTGGGAACCAAACAAATCTCAATAAACAACCTTGGAACTCGGCAATTAGACTTTGCTATGTTGGACAAGTTATTGTTTCAATGCACAATACTATTGTAGAATTGGTAATGCTAGTTTGCAATCGGGCACTACTGCCTTGAAACAGTCTTTCCTACTGCTTGAAAGTTTGGAAACCACTTCTTTAGAATCGGGCACTACTAGCAATACTACATAAGCAATACGCATTTAGAACTGCGCAAGAGTGCATTAGAATTTGTTGATGCTACTTTGGACTTAAAACTAGCTTGGACTTGGGCAATGATATTGCAGAAATGAGAAATACTACTTTAAAACATTGGGGAACATTCTTCGACATGGGGCGATACTACTTTAAATAGAATTGGGCAGTACTACCTTACAAAAAGGAATCGTACAGCTTTAGACAATTCGCCTATACTGCTTTCGAATTGGGTAGTAAAACTGCTCGATATAGTTGAACATGTCAAACATCACCCGTTAAAAGGAGGATCCTCGAATCCAACTCAGCAACCATTTCCAAATGCCCACAATGTTCCTGTGTGCAGGAACCCTGCAAATCCAAATTTGGCAATTGTGGAGGATGTGTTTTTGTGTTTTTTGTGCAACCCCTAGACCGTGTTTCCGGACTGAAAAAACCAGCGGTAAGAAAGCCAAGCAAAAAACGGTCGGGGTTGGACGAAACAAACAATGGGGGGTGAAATTCATGTCGAACCCGGATCATGGGCTCCCATGTGTGTGGGTCAAAAATAGGTGCCCAGAACGGAACCCTGGAAAAGGGAAGAAGCACTAAACCCTGCGGTCCAATTCCTGGTGGTATACTTTTGATCCATCAGAGAAGTCCCGGAGCCCCTTGCCGGGCCACCGAATGCTCGTCCATCGACCCCCGCCACTGGATCTGCTGCCACAGGTCCCCGCCTTGCGACGTCACGTTTTGATCCGACTGCCCACCAACGTGCCCGGCTTTCGGGGGGCCCACAGCCGAGGCCATCAATCATCCGCCCCCCCCCAACAAAAAAAGAAAGAAAGACGCAGAAGCCGGTTTTGGGGACAAAACGGCGAATCCATCAAAACAAGCCCTTCCACAAAGCCAACTCGCCCTTCAAAAGATTGCGGCTCTTGGAATTGCGGAGTCCCATGAGGGATTGTCCCAATAGTGGCATAACCCGTCTGCGTGCAGAACCGTGCAATACATCTGAACGTGGAGCCCGTCACAGTGAGAAAACGTACCTAACCATCCTAACCCAAAAAAGTATGTTCAGCTTGAAGATTGACCATGCTCTTCAAACAAGCGATTCGATATGATGGTCGTGTAATTAACATGGCAAGATCAAGCAAGCAAAACAAACACACACACACACACACACACACACACACACACACACGCCACACAAAAATAAAAAACCAACCGCTCAGTTCCCACCATAGTAGGCCCGTTTCTACGTGTTTGAATTGGGCTGACAGGGTGGCCAGACCAGTTTTCAGTTGCCAAACACCCACGAACAGGAAGGACACATGTGAAGCAATCAATTCGCTCCTGCTTGGCACTCGTCAAACATGCGCTGCCGCTTTCTCAACGCTTCGATTCACTATAACGAGGGCAACCACCACGTAAGAGCTGAAGAGACTGTGATAATGTAATATCAATCTGGGTTGTGCTACGCACAATGGCGCTAGTTGGAATCACAGGGCTCCAAAACAGTCGACGATAATTGTCATTGGTCATTGGCTTAAGCTGCCAATCACAAGACATTTGGTGCTAGTCACTAGTCATGATCGTGTCCTTTCAAAACCACCAGGGACAAGCAAGAAGTAGCAAATTTAACATAAGTCACGTTGACCGTTGCTTGCATCAAGCCTGAACGCATCTCAATTCAGCGTGTCTTTCAGTGCACCATGCTGATTGACTCCTCGCATGCTCATAGTCATAGTAAACAAGCAAAGGCAATAGCGGGTGGCAAAGTGCCCGAACTGGTGAACTTGTTTGGGGCTCACATAAGCCAACATTGCACCAATGCTGAAATGCAATCACATACACGCACACACGCACACGGAGACACGCAGACACATACAGATCGACACACAGATAGACACACAAACACATAGACAGACACACAGACAGACAGACAGACAAACAGACAAACAGGACAGGACAGGACAGGACAGGGGAGGAGAGGACAGGTCAGGACAGACAGACAGACAGACAGACAGACAGACAGACAGACAGACAGACAGACAGACAGACAGACAGACAGACAGACAGACAGACAGACAGACAGACAGACAGACAGACAGACAGACAGACAGACAGACAGACAGACAGACAGACAGACAGACAGACAGACAGACAGACAGACAGAAAGACACACGGACAGACACGCAGTTTGACGCACAAAGAAACACACACACACAGAGGAACAAACACACACACAAACACAGAGAGAGAGAGAGAGAGGCACAAACAAATACACAGACAGACACACAGCCAAATACACACACACAAACACACAACCACACACACAAACAAGCACAAACGCAAACACAAACACAAACGCAAACACAAACACAGACACACACACACACAAACAAACAATCAAACAAAGAAGCAAACTACAAGCAAGCAAGCAAGCAAGCAAGCAAGCAAGCAAGCAAGCAAGCAAACAAACAAACAAACAAACACACACACAAACACAAACACAAACACAAACACAAACACGCGCACGCGCACGCACACGCACGCACGCACACGCACACGCACACGCACACGCACACGCACACGAACACGCACACGCACACGCACACGCACACGCACGCACCCGCACGCACCCGCACGCACCCGCACGCACCCGCACGCACCCGCACGCACCCGCACGCACCCGCAGGCACACGCACGCACGCACACACCCACACACACCCACACACACCCACACACACACACACACACACACGTGCACACGCACACCACACACACACACACATACGCTGTCCCTGCATCACTCAACTGCGACCTACGTCAAGTTGGTGTTTTGCATTTTCGCGGCCCTTCCCTGCTGGCTATTACTCCCCTCCGAACAAGTTCCCCTGGCAAAACCTGACTTTCCCGAACGGTTAAGGTTGAAGATCCAAAGCTATCGCATTCAAGCCCTAGCTTTGCGTATGGATCCTCATGTATGGATCTCCTGGACCCCCCGACCCTGACCCCTGGAAACTTCCAGTCACAGCCCGAGTCAAACCGCCCGTCGAGGCGCCGCAGTGGTATTCCATTGCAAGGGCCCAGGTGGACCGTGCCTCGCGGCGTTGCTTTCCGCGTCCTATAACCCCCCCCCAAAAAAAAAACTGGGGGAGTTCGCACAGGGGAACACAGCGAAAAAGAGGAACCTGAGGGACCTGAGGGACCTGAAGTGGGCCAAAGAACGATCAATCCTAAATCCTGTCGCCTGACAGTCGAAGCGGATTGGATCCATCGGGAAAACACTTCGACACGGACTCAACACATATTACACCGCGGCCTTTGCCGCTGAGAAACCTCTGTTGGTCTCTGCATCTTTGCTCAAGCACAGAGAAGGGAGAGAACCAAGACAGGTTCAACTGGCCCAGCAACACCATGGCATCCTCCAGCGCACGTGGCTAGTTCTTAAACGTCTGCGATAAAACAAGAAAGAAAGACATGACTTTGCTCGGATTCAACCGATACTGAACAAGTGGCATGATCGAGTGTCAAAGGCCTCAATGTAAACATGGGTGCCTGGACTAGGCCGTGACTACATGTAGAAGGAAGAAGCAACTTAAGACAGTTACTCAGCCTGATGACGTGGCACAGCCCAGACCAGGAGTTCCCCAACAGAGGCGCCCAACTGTACGTTGTGCCTTTTGTGAATTGCGTGGGGGCGAAGTTAACAAGCACCTCCTGGCCACAACATGCTGAGTGAGAACGAGCATGCAACCCACCGTCGCACAAAGAAGGAAGAGCAAGAAGCTGTTCTGCCTCTTCCGCCCTTGTTCAGGCCGACAAAGCTGCGCTAGCCCTTGCCTTGCCCTTCTTGGTGCGCTTGCTGTCAACGCAGAAGACACCCACAAAGGAGTGGATGTTGGGATGACCATGGCACTTGGTCAGAATCTTCACCTCCCGCCTGGGAAGTTGCAGAGATCTTGACGGCGGGCCAAGTTTCTTCAAGGCACCAACTCCACAACTGGGGGGGTCACCCCATGTACGTACCCCCCCTTTCGTACATTAAGGGAAGGGGAGGGTGATGTCAAGGCAACATGGATAAACGCAAATGAAATCGCTCGCCAGTTCTCGCGGTGAAGATTTCCCTGCACTGGGGTGAGCATCGTTAACAAGGTCCCTGAAACCTGACCAAATTTTCGCAGAGGAGTGCCCAAGGGTCAGAAATGTGGGTAGCAATTCCATCCTTATAATCCCGGGGTGGCGATTCTCTCACCGCATCCAAGATTTATTTGCCGTAGATCAAAAGATCAGAGGACCTGCGATGACGCAAAATGATGATCTCTGGCTGTGCGCTGGGTTGAATTGCTTCTCTCATGCCTGCATCTTATGTGCGGATGATTTCTATAAGTAGTACTTGTTTAGCTTACATGTGCAGCTGGTGGTTTGGAATCGCGGCTTCGCTTAAGGTGGTGCAGCCCCAATTTAGTTTCAGAAACCAGGAACTCGACTTAGTATGGTGTGACTCCTGTTGCCCAGTCTCTTAAAAGATTGGAGCCACTCATACAAAGTTCACGGCAAATCGTGTTTGTTTGCACTTGTCCTGTGTCATGTTCATGCAATGTGTCGAACATGACAAGCGTTGCAGGTTTGCCTCCAAATGTTGGAGCCCCAAAAAGGTTGTTGCATGGCTATTACCCTTTCACCAAAAATATCCAGTGCCACGTGGTTCCACACACAAACACTGTAGAGCAGCGCCTTCAAAGTCCATGAGCAGTTGACAACTCTAAACACCAACTTGTTGATGAACCAGCGTAAAATACTAAACTATGGCAACCGTCCAACAACAGCATGGATCTCACAGAAGGTGTATTGAAAAAAGTATGGTCCATGGGGCGCACATTCCCCAACCGGAACAGGTAAAGTCAATGGGAGTGCAAGAGAAGCCCTTCCACTGACCAACAAGTTGGCTTCATATGGCGTTCTAAAATGGGTGGTGCACCTACCCCGAAATGGGATTCCATTGGTTTTGACCCACAGCCATATTATTTTCTGGAGCCGAGGGGCTCGATCTTGGCCGCAGAGCTGGATACACGCTTGGCGGTGATGCAGGCGGGGAATCGGAAGGTCAGCTCCTGCTTCATCCTTCGGGCGGTTTCGAGCGGGGTTTCTGTTTGGTTTGAGGGATGGAATTTGAGGGGAGCTTTTTGGGCAGGGCAGGTCCTTTACTGGGAAGAACTTGCCACAACCAGCTGGCCAAGCGTTGCCGTGGCAGCGCTTGAGCTATGGCAGCTATGGTTCCCAGGCCCTCGGTGTCTGTCTTTGGGTCCATCATTGGTCCCAGCATGTGGACCCTTCCCACAAAACAGTGAGCAGTGTAACCAGGAGTCATAGCTCACTTGCGAGCACACACACACACATATGCACACACACACACACAATAGAGGCTGAAACGGTGGAAGCCCCAACGAAGGGTTTGGGAGCAGTGAAGGAGGAGTGAGTAACCAACCAATGACCTTTGCGCTTCATGCAAAGCAAGCCTCTCAACATCTTTCACCAGTCGGCAGCGAACAATGAGAAATTCACGACGCATGCCTGCCTGCCTTTCAACATCTCATTACACCAACTGATAACAACTGCTCTCCTCAATGTCCTAGAATTAATTTGTGAGTAAATAATAGAAATTGAGGGCGGAAGAGATGGCGTGTAAGTCAGTGAAGGGAGCAAACCTGAAGAGAGAGAGAGAGAGAGAGAGGGGGAAAGACAATGCTTGCCAAATCAACTAAAATCAAGGGAATGCATGGTCTGTCCTCTCCCCACGTTCCGATTCATTAGAAGGATTGACAAGAGATAAAGGGAATGGTCATATGATTCCAAGACCAGGGATTACATGCAATTCACATGGAGAGGAATGAAGGAGATGAAGAGAAGGAATGAGTAAAAAGAAATTACCAACCATCTCCTTCATCCCACTCAAGTCTCTCTCTCTAACACCTCTCCTGTCAGCTCTTGGAATCGCATGGCAGGCAAACGAACGCAGGGAGTGCGTGGGTATCCGAGAGAGAAAGAGATGGGAGATTGGGCAATAATCCATTCCTTATCCCTTCTCCCTAGCAATAAAGGTACCCCAAATATGTTAGTTTTTTCAGCATCCCAGTCAAATTCAGGTCCGCAAATACTAAGTTTAAACTAGCCAACCGAAACCAATGCTACTACAGTTTTCCCCAACACCATTCGTATTAGGGGGCCTTTCACAACGAAACACAGCACGATTACTAAACCATTACACAAATCCAAAAAGCATATCACTGACTTCTGTTGCCGTTTTGAACGATGATCGGGCCCGGAAATGGGAGGTTTGGACGAGCGGCGACGAGGACATAAAGGACAGACCCTAATAATCAACGTGTTTTTGCTGGGAGAATGATTTTTTCTAGGGGGGTGTTATGGATTCGCTTCGGCGATCATCCGATAAAATTGGAACGATACAGAGAAGATTAGCATGGCCCCTGCGCAAGGATGACACGCACAAAAGGTTTCAGGACTCAAGCTAGCCCCGCGTCGAGCCCTGACCTTAGCATGGCGCCGCAATTGCGGATTCGCCCGCGAGCATCCCTCTTTCACTGGAGCCATCGTGGCACCGCAGATCCAGAAGAAAGAGAAGCACTGCGAGGCACATAGTGTGGGCAGCGGAGCATCTCCCTGGTTCAGTTCAGGCAGGTGCGTTCTGTCGAGCACTCAGCACCTTGGAGAATCACCACTCCCACAATCCAACAGCATCCATGTCTTTTTGGTGGTGCACTTGCGGTTTTAGAGCGCCCAACTCTCTGACGTACTGCGGGCGATGTGGATGTTCATGGGAGCAGACGCAGTGGAACTCTGCGAAGCAGAATGGCGGAGCGCCCAGCAAATCGCGAAAGCCTCGCAAGCCCAGCAGAAAAAGAACAACCGAAGAGGAAGCGCTGCCCAATTTTCAGGTACCAAAAGAAGCGTCCCAGCTCTCTTCTATTCCTTCTACTTCCTGGCCGCAGTTTGCGGAACAGCCCGCAGCTGGTACCAGAACAGTGGTCATGAATGCAGTTGTGTCTCAGGAGCCCGTGCCGAGTGGAAAGGAGGCGCCCAATGTGCCCACTTACAGCATGGGTGGCAGCTCTGCAGGAGTGAGCACGCCAATGTCATTGAACCCACCGACGCCGCCAGATGCAATCCTACAGCAAGCGCCAGTGGTTCCAAAGGAATCGGAGCTCGGCAAGCAGATCCAGGAAGCCTGCCAGAAGTCTGGCTTGGAGTTGCCTGCGGAGATCAAGCAGCTCTTGGGGCTGCAGTCGAAGCCCCTTGCAACCAAATTGCATGGGCAGGCTTCTGCAGTAGCCAAGGGGGAAAAGAAGTTGGACCGTCTGCAGAAGGCCTTGGACAGAACAGAGCAGGAGTGGATAGACTTCATTGTCCAGCTCAACGATTACCTGAAGTGCAAGCGGTCCGAGTACGAGGAAACGGTTGGAAGCCTCAAGGCTCAGATCGCCACCACGACGCAGCAAGTGGCGTTGGCGCAGCAGACAATGAAGCAGATGCTTGCAGAGGAGAACGAGCCAAGGCCTTTCAGCGAAAAGAAGAGCAACAACGGGGTAGTGTACCAGCAGCTCGCCGAGAACCTCAGCAAAGCCTTGCCCAAGAACATGGCGACGCGGAAGGGGAACGCAAACAGCGTGCCGAAGCTGCCCCTCACGAATTTCTGTGCCCTAGCTGGCCACGAGGACGAGGAGGACGAGTGCACCCTCATGGAAGCAGAAAGCCAGAATGTGCGCAAATTGGGCGACCTCTCCAGTGTGGCGTCGCGGGAGGATCTGGAAAAGGACTTGAGCGCCCCAGAGCCAGACACAGACGAGCCACAAATGGTGTCAGTGAAGCAGGCGCCAGCAGCCAACTCAGAGGAGCAGTCTGGAGATGCAGATTTTGTGAAGCAAAAGAACAGGAGGCAGAGGCAGAAGGAGCAGCAGAAGAAGCCGAAAGTTTTTCACGAGAAGGGGACAGAGAAGAAGAACGAGTAGCGACAGCCGCTCCGGAGACTCCTGCCAGAAGGCGAGTGAGATTTGCTGAGGTAGCTCAAGTTTTGACTTTTCACACGTTTGAGCCGCCCGTTTTTGTACAAAGAAGGAAGCCAACAAGGATTGCGAGTTTTCCCAGGGGTGAACGTGAACCATTGCCTGCGGGCCCTAAGGATGTTTCTGATTGCGCGAGCCAACATGCTGCCGACGCTAGTTCCATTCTTCCCCGAATGAACATGTGTGAGCCTGGCTGCAAAGTGCTGCAAAGTCGGTCGTGTGTCCATCCTGCAAGCCCAGCAAATGCAGACTGCCCAACTTCTGCCGAGCGCATGAGGGAGCAGTGTCCTATGGATGTGGTAGAGCCAGACACTGTGAAGCTCATTGCGCAGCAGGAGGAGGCAGTAAGCATATATATGACGAGCGTGGGGGATTTGTTCAAAGTGCTTTTCGAGCCTGATTGTAACTTTGAACGTGTTTTGTCAAGCCCGGTACAAGATCTGAAGTATCATGAAAACACCTTGCAGGCAATGAGGTGGGTGAAGCATGCGTTACCTCCAGTTCTTGAAGAAGTGTACTTGTACACGGACGGCTCTTTCAAGGACAATAGCGCTCAAGAAGTGGCCGATCCTTTCACATGTGCATGGGCAGTAGTGATAGTAGGTGTTTCCGAAGGCAAGCATTACCTGCTTGGCGAACTCCACGGGGCCCTTGACCAATATGGCTCCGCCCTGGCAGCCGAAGTCGCGGCCCTTGCGTGGGCAGGCATTGCAGTGATCCAGCTGTCGCATGTCAGGATTGTCCCAAGAGCTACGCTGTGTTTCGATTGCGTGGCTGCCGGTCTCCATGCAGTAGGGCAGTGGCAGTTGGCTATGGATAACCCGTGCACGAGGTGTGTGCGAGCGATTTTTCAGACCCTGCAAGCTGTGTTTACCATTCGCGCAGAGCACACGAAGTCTCACGCGGGGCAACCGTGGAATGAAATGGCTGACAGCTTGGCCGACAGCGCAAGGTGCGGCGTTGCAAAGGCACAAGGTTTGAGGATAGAAGCTTTTAACGCTTTCTTCGCTAAGCCTGAGCTAGCAATGTGGACGTGGCTGAAAGTCGAAAGTTTGACAGGCGCCATCGCTATGCCCTTGTGGGAGCATGGCTCGCTCGTGTGCAGGCGGCCTGACGAGCCTGTGGATGCGCGTGGCGACACACACCCTTTCATGGTTGCCGAGCATTTGACCACGTCATCTCTTCTGGCCAATGCCATGGTCACTTTGAGCGTCAAGTGCGCCACGGCGAATGTTCTCACCCTTTTGCCTGCCAAGCGATCCAGAAGTAAACTTCAGTGTTCGCACGCTGGCCTTGATGACCTTGCACGTCCAGAATTGTTAAGGGCGCAGTTCGAACAAGCCAACTACTGTATAGTTGGTCTGCAAGAAACACGCCTCAAGCATGTTGGGATAAGGGACACGCCCAATTACGTGGAAGTGTCCGCGCCGGCCAACCAAGGACAAGGTGGAGTGGCGCTGTGGTTATCAAAGACAGTCAGCCACGGCACAGACTCAGCCGGCCAGTGTTTTTTCAGTTCGCGGCATGTGACTATTCAGCACGCGGATCCTAGGCTCCTTGTTGTAGTGGTGCGGTCCCGCGTGGTCCACCTCTGCATTGCGGTTGGTCACGCGCCTTGCAATAGCGCGACTGATGTTGATAGACGTGTTTTCTGGCACTCTTTGGGCAAGTGCGTTTTGAGGCATATTCCCACGATGCTCTTAATAGACGCAAACTGCTCTGTTGGGTCCATCACTTCGTTGGCCATTTCTGACTGCAATGCCGAAGCAGAGAATAACAACGGAAGATCTTTCAGGGAAACCCTTGAGCAAGTAGGTGCCTGGGCCCCTGCCGCGTGGAGCCAATGCCAGCAAGGCAGCGGAATGACATGGGTCAGCCCTTGTGGCCAAGAACACCGCAATGACTTTGTTTGTTTGCCTCTTGAGTGGCAACAGCTTGACCAGGTGCAGGCGTGGGTTGATTCCAGCGTGGACATTGCCTTGACGCGAGAGGACCACAGAGTTGCTGCAGTGTGCTTCAGCGGCTCAGCCCTAGCCAAACAC